CAGAGATAACTTCCTGCTGTCCACATTCATGTTCAGACACTTCTATACTTGCTAGTCTATATATTCATTTTTAATTGTATTCATAATTCTACATGCAGTACCTCTGAAGTAAGAGCACATAACTTTGTTGATTCCACTAGAGGACAAAACAATTAAAATGCAAATGTAGATTGTTATTATAGAAGACCTTTATTGAACCTTGCTTTTAATCTAAATTGCTATATAAATTAATAGTTTTGGAATAACTTATGCACTTTATTCAGTTCAGGACCATTTCTAGGTGAATATTTAAGCATTGTATTTCACTAAGCATTTACTACTGACTATGAAAGCAGACTTTATTCAGGAAGATGAATGAAAAACAGCTTAGTAAAGCACTCTTTGCCCAAGCAATGTAAAAGAATTCTGGAACATTTACTACAATATTTACAGTAATATATGCGTAATGGTAATCTCTTAATACTCTACACTAAGAATTTAAGACTAACTACATGCTTGCACCAAAGGCTATTAATCAATACCTCATTGTTTGACCTGGAGATGCCAAGCACGTTTAACTCTATGCCTTATCATGCTGTTAACAAAAAGAATTACCATGTCTTAACTAGATATTCCTACTGTGTTTCTAACCCTCCAGTCAACTCCTAAGCCTTCTATGAGAACTTCTTCAATGATGTCAACCTCTGACAAGTGAGTACTTAATAAATCTAAAGCTCCATTTACAAAGTAGTTGGAAAAGAGTAAAGAAACTCCCACTTCTGCATAGACAGTGTGGCAGCGAGATATTCCTTACTCTATCCTGGTTTTTTTGCACACTTACTGGAAATTATTCTGGTGGTTGCCTGACTGCAGTTGGAGCTTTTGCAAAACATAGCCCTGGCACTGTGACTCTCCCAAGACCACTAAGAGTTTCAGAGCTTCCAACCCAGATATGAGTAGAACGTGTGCAGCAGGTCAGAACACTGTAAACCCGAGCTCTGACAGGGCTGAGGGCAGACAAGAAGGGCAGAAATGAAACAGGGTTCCTGGAGAGATCAGGCATACCCTGATGTTGGGGGGTTTCACAGTTTAGCCAAGAAAACCCACCACTGACCTGATATAAGTGCTGATGACCGGCCCACTTCAAGTGGGAAGCTGGGTTAAATAATTTCCAGATGTCCATGCCAAAAAAAGTAATTTCTGTTATTGAGTAGCTGCAAAGGCAGCAGATTTACCTGTGTGCAGTTGCTTCATGACAGTATCATATGATTTAATGTTCTGTTCATGTTTAGGAAATTAGAAATGCAGCCATAAAAGTTAATATTCTATAAATATTTAAAAGAAAACCTAAATTCTGATTAAACTCATAGTTATGTTCACAAGTCACAGCTCCTTTTTTAAAATTAAGTATGTATTTCTCAAACTCCACTGAAACTGCTGATTCTTCTAAACAAAATCATCTTCTACATATCTAGGTGTAAACAACGATGGGCAAATATCCATTACTTGAATTTTTTCCACAGAACAGGAAACATATTTCAAAAATTAATCCTAAAGGTTGCTGCAGTATTATAGTCTATTCCATGCATCTCCAGAATAAAAACAAACCAACAACCAATCTTTAAAACAAAGTGATTTTGATTTTAAAACAAAGTGATTTGTGTTCACCTTGTGTTTTTCCAGGTAAGCTGGAATATAGTTTTGTTTTACTAATTAGAAGAAAGTTTTGCTGGTACAGAACTTTTACTCTACTTAAAATTTCTTTAAAGATATGATTGTTTGGGTTTTTTAGAGAATGTTCTTGCAGATAATAAGATCAGAGCGATTGCTCCAGGAAGATCACTTCAGCAAAACAAAGGGAAATAACATATTTCATAACAGCTGTCAGAATACTGTATAGATTTAAAAAAAACCCTTGAGGGCTCAAGCCTTTGCTAACACCTTGAACTGTGTCCGAATGAAGAACACAATTTAGGAGTTTAGGCAGAGATGTATGGTAATATTACCTCATCCACTTACATGTTGAACATTTTACTCTGTACTAGTTGAAGCTTTTAACGCCTAAATTCTGATAAAGGTGGACAAATGAAACAGTAAAAAGAGATTTGAAGGGACTTTATACTACTATTTTAACTCCCAAGCCTCCAAGATCATTAGAAATTGTGACTGTTACTTGTTGGATCAATTTCTCTGACTTTGAACTACAAGATGGAGAACTAACATTTATTTAGTATTCTCCTAGATGATGTGGAAGCTTTTTGTTATTTTCCAGGCTTGTTTTAAAAATCTGTTAATCTGTTTGCCAGACCTCTGCCATCCTTTGTGACACTCACATCAATTTTATACACTATGCCAGCGTATGAAAACTTTTGAGATATACTGCACTACCACTTGACAGCATTTTGCTAAGTGAGAGGCAGTAAGCCTCACACACAATTCCACAGGCTGGCAGTTTAACAGAATGTGCACTTCCAATAAAAAACCATACAAAAAAAGAAAAATTATGGTACCAAGGCAAAGCACTTGGTGAAAGCATCATGACTTCCACAGGCACAGTTACCTCGTGGTAATACTTTTGCAAAGTTTGAGGGTAATTTCAGCATCAAGGCAAAGTCCAGATAAGGTATTAGCAACTTGCACACCTTGCTGACATCTTGCTATGCTTCTTGGGTAAGTTGAGTTAATTAGTATCACCTCTATGCCAGGAGCAAACCTACCACGCTGTTTTTCATCATGGCTTTAATACTGAATCCCTCGCAGGCCTGCTGCTTGTCCTGCTGCTTGTCCTTCTTCTCCCGCTGCCGGGGGCGCCTGTCACCTGCGGGCTTTGAGGGGCCGGGCCCCCCCTCCTCAATTACCATCTCCCCACCGGCACCCGCGACGGACCAGAGGCAAATTACGGACTGGAAAAAACAAGGGAACATCAGCGTCCCGTGCCCAGCGAGTTAGAGCAGGCAGCACGTCCGACTCCGCTCCCTGCACAACCAGCGACAGCCCCACACACCCGTCCCGCGCCTTCCCTGCCCCTCACAGGCCCCCCCTTTTCTGCCCCTCGCCCCCAATTCCCTTCTGCATCATCCAGCTCGTCCCCCTCCTCCGCTGTGTCCCAGCCCTTTCATCACCACCTGATGTCCTTGTCCCTCGGGGGGTCCTCGCCCCTGTCCGTCCGCCCGCTGCTGTCCCCCCGCCGGGTCCGGCCCTGCGGGTCCCTCTGCTCCGTTGGGCACCTGCCTCCACGCGCGGTCCCTCGGCCACGCGACCGTCGCCAGGCAACGCGTCAACAACCCGCCGGGGAAGCGGGAGGGAAATCACAGAGAGCCCCGTCGGCATCGCCCGGCCCCGCACAGCTGTACCTACGCCCGATG